GGATACGTACGCTACTATATATCCTCTCAAAAATCCCCCACCTCCTTTAAGCTCCTTCGATATTCACGCTCTGTACGGTACAATAGTTATACCCAAGAGGTACTTATATTAAACTCACTACACTTTATGATATACATAGCAATTACTATACATAATGTACTCATACTCATACCACTTCATTATGTTTGAAGTAATGGGGAGTACTTACTATAACTTATTACACATGATATACATACAAGGTACCTATATGTGAATGGAGTATTGAAAAAAATTTGCGATGCTTATTATACATTGAAAGTTTCTTACTATGCAATTAGACTCAGTACAGTGGGTTCAGAATTGGGAAGTACTTGTTTCATATTCATGCCGTGTATGCTTGCGCCCGGCCGGTTCCTCACTCTAATCATGGTGGTCGAGAGTCAAGGATGTGCGGACTTCATCCCCCATTTATGTCTATTATTTAGAATGTACTTAGGAAACAAAATGCTATATATGCTACAATAGTAATAACCAAGAGCTACTTAAATTACTCATTACACTTCATGACATGCATAGAAATTACTATATATACAAGGTAGCTACACTCATTACATTTCAATGTGTATGGGGTGATGACAGGTACTTATGATATTCATTACACATGGTGTATAGGGTATCTGAAAAATACTTACTATGCAACTCATATTCATAATATACAAGCCTGAGAGGTACCCGCTAATTTTGTGAAGAATGGGGAACTATCCCTTCCACCGATGTTTACGTCTTGCGCATCTGCTGGAGACTAGCGCTTCACTATAGCTATGACGGTTGAGAGTCAAGGATGTGTTTAGGTATGCTTCGACGTATTTTCCCTATGCTACAATAGTAATCATTGAGATGTACTTAGACTTAACTCTTTACACTATATCCTATACCTAGTAATTACTATCTAAGAGGTACTTACTATGCTCGTTACATGCTACCCGATATACATAGTAAATACTTACATCTATATATGTATGTGGTAATTACACCCATTACACTATGCATACCCTGTGGGTATTTGGGAGGTACTTATTATGCAATTACAATCATTACAGTATGGCGTGTACATGGTAATTGGGAGGTACTTACTGTGCAATTGCATTTATTTACAGTACATGATGTAATTGGGAGGTACTTGTTAATTGCGCGTCTATCTCTGGCGCAGGCTACCCCTTCTTAGTCCCTTACCTCGATATTTCGGTTAAGCACGACCGTCTCTAACGCAGGCTAAGCACTCTAGGCACGACGGCCGAGAGTTAAGGACGTGCTGCCAACAGTAATCACTAGGAGGCACTTAGATAACATTCATTACACTACATTGCATACAGTCATTACTGCCTAAGGTGTACTTTAATATGTATGGAGTAATGAGATGTATACCCTGTGGGTAATTGGGAGGTACTTATTATGCAATTACAATCATTACAGTATGGCGTGTACATGGTAATTGGGAGGTACTTACTGTGCAATTGCACCTATTACAGTACATGATGTAATTGGGTGGTACTTACTGTGCAATTGCACTTATGTAATTGGGAGGTACTTGCTAATTGCGCGAAGGGTGGGGGGTACTTAGGATAATTACTAATTACCCAATTGCCTCTCTCTGTACCTCTTTCTCATTTCCAGAACCGGCCAATTACATCTACTAACGCGTACGAGTTGACATATTCTCATATGCTAATAAAAGTTACTTGGTCATGATTGATGCATACTCCAATTGGCTGGAGCTATTACCACTTCAGGATAAAAGTACTCAATCGGTGGTAGATCAAATGAGACAAATTCTTGCAAGATTTAGTAGCTGATAATGTACCCTTTGGAAGCTATAGGTTTCAAGACTTTGCCAAAGAGTGGAATTTTAGGTTAATTTTAAGAAGACCAAATTATCCACAATCCAATGGACTAGCTGAAAAAGCTGTGGGTATAGCAAAAAATATGTTAAAAAAGTCAATAGACGAAAATAAAGATATAGAGTCATCCCTACTTCAATACAGAAATACCCCCCTTAAGAATTTAAATTACTCCCCCTCACAGCTACTAAATAGCAGATGTTGTAAGACAAAATTGCCAATACCAACTAGTTCCTTGGTACCAGCAGTCTGCACAAATGTATCTGAGAAAATAGAACATAAATTAAACACTTACACCAAATATTATAATAAGCAGGCTAAAGACTTGAAACCTTTAGAACCAGGGCAAAATGTAATAATCCACAATGATTCCAAGAAAACATGGGATCAAGGTCAAATAATTGATCATCATGTTTATCCACGGTCATATCTGGTTAGAGATGGTTGTGGTAACACTCTTCGTCGCAATAGAGTAGATCTTAAACCATCTGTTAACACATTCCAGGAGTCTGCGAATCTTGAAGAGCATATTTCACCTATCTCTGACAAAGGTACTGATCAGGAAAATTATCCTCAAAATATTGTAAACCTAACTAGCTCACCCGAACCCTGTACTCCTTCTCAGCAACTCATTGTAACAACCCGCACCGGAAGAATTATAAAGAGACCTGATAAATTAAACCTGTAAGGGGAGGGATGTAACAACTATAGCCACGGCTAGACGACCAGAGTGAGGTTAAGTCAACACATGGGTCGAACGTGGGAACTGCAACTTGTAGCAACTAGTAAAAATAAAGTTAATACTAACTAGTTATGTATCTTTATTAACATATCAACACAACCAGCACCCAAAATAAGACAATATATAAGTATTTTTCATTATATTTTGTCCCCTACTTATTTTCTTTATTATTGCAAACCCAAAAAAAGTTTTAAATAAAAGCTTTGTTGTTTTACCTGTGCCGACTAAACATGTAATAACTGGCAAAATATAATTTCATTTTTTTAATGGGACACCCTAAATAGTTTTAAGTAGACTTACATTTCCTGATTATAAATATAATATGTAAATATAATAATATATTAAGTAATTTGTTATAAGTTTTCGTTATTTTAATTCTCCATATAGGAAAAAACTTCATGTCGAATTTAAGTAATTTAAGTAATCCCTGTACTTGATCTGGGGAAGGCGCGTTTGAAATTTGACGAAACTAGTACCAAGTTGTGCCGCCAGGGTTTTTAACCTCACTTTAGTTGTTTACTTTTTAGATTTTTGTATACGTGTCAGCCAGGTCAGTAAAAACAGCCCTTTTTGGGCAGCTACACCCCCATGGAGGAGCCCGATGGGGCAACCAGCACCCAGACAGACCCCAAACCTCCCCAAGAGCCTACAGAAACCACCTTTTCTAGAAGAGCTAGACAAAAGCTAGAAAAAGAACACAGAGAGTTATCTATAAACACCAGCCGCAGGTCCTCGGCCTCATCAACAAGCCCGAGAAGTCCGATCACACTACAACTTAAAAGGAGCATACATCACCCTTACCGGCATGTAAGTACCCCCAAACCGAAGGAATCACACAGATCCTCAAATAGTGAAAGAAGAGACTCTCGGGAGAGGTCCCACAAAACCGACGAGAAAACTCGAAAAAGGTCCAAAAACCATAGTTCCAACAGAGATAGAGGGGAAATGGAAGTAAATGAGGCCGATTTGTACCCACCCCCATCATCTGAGCACAAAAAATCCAGCAGAAACATCACTGAAAAGTTCGCTGAAAAAAATGATGAAAATGCCGCTTTTTACACTCCACCACAAGAAATCACATCAAACTCATCCACGATGACAGACTACTCCCCCGACAGTGATCCCATGTCGAGATATGGAAGTGCGCATAACTCACCCCTAAATACGAGCGTGATTAATACTTTCGACAGTGCCTACGGTGTCGCGACGATAGACGCGGAAAAAACACGGAAAGTTCGGACACATTAGTGGCTAGTGCGACAAAGGACGCCACCACGGATCCTACCCTCATTAGTGCCGAATTAGTGCTCCAAAACCTAGACAGTGCGATAAACAACATAAACAACGAAAACTCCGGGCCTATTAATAACAGTGTACATACCATAAATCAAAACAGTGCTCCCCCTAATAATGTCAGTGTTGTGACGGAACCGAAATTCGAATCCGCGTATAACACCCTCGCGCTACCGAATACGGTCACCGCAAGGGTCCTCAACTTCGGGATTGACCCCCCCACGTCAAGTGAAGATGAAAGAGGGAAACAGTTCAACTTCAAACATAAAACGTTACTAACCAAACGTAAAAATATGTCTCCAGTTGGCCAAGAAGCACAAGACAACCCCCGTAACATGCCACCGGAAAACCCAAACAAAATCGACGAATTTCAAATCCCGAAAAAAACGAAAAAATTCAGGACGAATTTTATAAAAATGCTGGAACAAAAGGCGGCAGCTACAATATCCACAACAAATAGATTTGAAGCCATTGGCGAATCAGAAAGCGACTCTGAAAGCGAAACTGAACCGACTACATCCACAGAAAACAAAATAAAAGGGAAAGCAACCCCTAACATACGAATCAAAGGCCAGTCAACACGTCAAAAATCCTCAGTGAAAAACACAATCGGTGAAAAAACCAAACCAAAATCGAGAGACACAATCCCCCCCATAGTTATAGACGGGAATACGGATAATCACGTAAACCTTGCAAAGGACCTAAAAGAAATCGTCAAGGGAAAATACTCGATCAAATACACCAACGCTACGACGGTCATTTACACAGAAAACGATGGAGACTACAAAAAACTACTAAGCAGCATTAAAGAAGCTGAAATCCCGCATCATACGTATACATCTAAAGCTGACAAAACACATGCTTTTGTACTCCGGGGAATGGGTAAGGGAGTTGAAAAAAATGCAATAATTGAAGACATGCAAGAAACGTACGAAATTGCAGTCAAAGAAATATATCTAATGTCAACCAAATTTAGACCCCTCTACCTAGTGGTGACGGACCCAGCGATCACCCTAGAGTATCTAAATAAAACGTCAGAGTTATTGAAAATACAAGGGTCACATGGGAATTAAGAAAAACAGTGAAGCCAATCATTCAATGCCACAGGTGCCAAGCTTGGGGACATGCCACAGCAAATTGTGGCCGCCCCCCTCGGTGCCTGAAGTGCGCAGGGGACCACCTGACCAACGTATGCACAAAAACCCGTGAAACACCCGCCACATGTGCCAACTGCCACGGCAGCCACCCGGCCAATTACACCAAATGTGAGGCTTACCTGGAAAGAGCCTCGAGGTTAGAGGAGAGAAGAGCGACGCAAAAACCTCCACTGAAAAAATATGTACCAGCCCCTCCACCAACCCAATCGGCCTGGGACAAAAACAGAAACCCCACTGCACAAGAATTACGCGATTTCCCACCCCTCCCTACATCCAGTAATTCCCAATCTAAATTTCAGCCTCAACCACCAAGGAGAAACTCCAATGTCAAAAATGTAAATGAAAAACCACCACAAACCGGAGGAATGGACGATCTCTTTGCCCTCAATAAAGAATTCGAAGAGCTTAACTCTATGGTAAATATAGCCGCCCTCACCCAAGCCGTCCGTGACCTTAATTCCTCCCTTAGAAAATGCACCTCCACACCTCAATATTTCATGACTTTCAATAACTTTATGACAAATCTAGACTCTTACAACATTAAAAATTAAATTCAACAACATAAATAGAGACAAAATCAAAATATGTTTTTTCAATGTGCACGGGCTGCTAAACAAGATCGGGATTGTCAGCAATTTTATTCATAAGCATAAATTTGACATTATCATTTTAACAGAAACATTTTTAAAACCTATACACACAGTAAAAATATATGACTATACAGTAATTAGAGAAGACAGAAACATACACAACCTCAGAAATGCAGCTGGGGGGGTAGCTATCATTATTAGAAAAGATTTACAATTTAAAGAAATCCCCAAACTTCAATTGCATGAAAGATTTGAAAATATAATAATAGAGGTAAATAAAATTATCATAATAGGGGCCTACAACCCTCCGAGAATCACTCTTTCAGGTAGAGATCTGCACAGGTTAATGTCGAAAGGGAACAGGGTTTTTCTGGCAGGGGATCTTAATGCCAAACATCAGGAATGGGACTCTCATTGTGCGCACTACAACGCAAGCGGTACAGTTTTGAGAGACTTCGCCGAGGACAATGACCTTATTATCCACTACACAGAAGAACCGACGTACTTTCCGACAAATCCCGATTACAGCCCCAGTACACTGGATATCGCACTAGCTAAAAATATCCCTGATATAAGAAACATGAGAACTATTTCTACCTTGAACTCTGATCACGATCCAGTGTACTTGGAGATTTGGACAACAAACAAAATACAAAGACAAATCACAAAATTCTACGAGTACAAATCGACAAACTGGACACAGTACAGAAATAAAATAGACACTTACGTAACAATTAACAATAATATCCACACAATAGAAAATCTCGAAAACGAAACCAAATTATTCATACAAAATATACAAAAAGCTAGAAACGACACAACTACGCTTAAAACACAGACTTTACATTACGACAATCTGCCACCCGAAATTACAGAATTAATTAGCAACAAAAACAGACTCAGAAAAAGGTGGCAGACACACAGGTCAAACGATGATAGGGTTATGATGCACAATCTTGCAATCAACATCAACGAAATGATTCGAAACCACCGTAATAAAAAATGGCAAAAAACCCTATCAGAGTTGAAGCCACAAGACAACTCTTTGTGGAGAGTAGTGAAGAGGTACAAAAAACCCTACTCGCTGCTCCCCACTCTGAGACGAGGACAAGATACACTAATGACCGACGAAGACAAAGGTCAAGCCCTAGGTGAATACTTTCAAGCTCAATTTGTAAATGATCAACTAAATACACCCCAACAACAACGTATTGAAAACATAGTTACCGCTTTCGGACAACTAGAACCACTCTCAGTGCCCCATTCTTGCTACACCACCCCGAGGGAGGTATGTGAGATAATTAGGAGTCTCAAGGTTAGGAAAGCTCCGGGATCGGACGACATTAACAATATACTACTAAAAAACCTCAGTAGAAAAGGTATCGTGCAGATCTACCACATAATAAATGCCATTTTCAGACTGCAACACTATCCCAGCAGTCTGAAAGTGGCAAATATCATCCCAATCTTAAAACCGGGAAAACCGAAAAATAATATTGATAGTTACCGCCCTATCTCATTGCTAAATACACTCGCAAAAATAATGGACTCCATCATACTACGACGACTAAAGACAATCGAACACAACATACAGATTACCCCGAAGGAACAATACGGTTTCAGAGAGGGGCACAGCACCGTGGCACAGGTCCTGAGAATTGCACACTATGCCAAAGAGGCATTTAATCAGGACTTGCAAACGGTGCTGGTGGCGCTTGATTCAGAAAAAGCCTTTGACACCGTATGGACCCAAGGGTTAATCTACAAAATGCTTATGAATGACTTTCCTGGGCACATTATCAAAACAATTTTGTCATATCTTACGGACAGAAAATTCTACGTTAAAATAAATTCAACAATAACAGGACCTTTCCTAGCAAGGGCGGGCGTACCACAGGGCTCGGTACTATCGCCGCATTTGTACACCATCATGACCCATGATTTACCAATGGGACATAATGGGGTACAAACGGCGCAGTACGCCGACGACATCTGTGTGTTTACAAGCCACAAATCCGCACAAACTGCGAGCACCAGACTGGAAAACCATATTAATGAAACATTGGTGAGTTATCTAACAGAAAACAAGATGAAAATCAACAAAAATAAAACAGAATCTATTTTAATTACAAAAAGGCGTTCCCAAGGCATAGACACGCCCCTTAGAGTTCTAGACCAGCCAATCACAACCAAAACGCAGATGAAATATCTTGGTTTTCTGTTAGACAAAACGCTAGTGTTTAAGGCCCACATTAAAGACAGGATAGCCCAAAACACCGGTATTCTGAGGTCTCTGTACCCTTTAATGAATAGACGGAGTAAACTATCCCTGCCGAACAAGCTTCTACTCTATAAAACCATTTTTAGGCCTATACTGACATATGGTTGTCCAGTATACTGCTCAATATCAAATTCATCCTTCATACCCCTGCAAAGGGCACAAAACAGATGTCTGAGGCTAGCACTTGGCTACGACCGCTATGCTAGAATACGAGACATTCACGGGACGACAAATATGCCTATGATTAAGGATTTCATCTTACAAACATCCGAGAACTTCTTCGCGCGATGCCTCCCTGAGGAATTGAGGGAAAGCATCACCCAAATTCACCAGGGAGACGGCGTGCGGAGGAAGCACGGCTGCATCCATCGTAATCTAGGCATATATAGACGACAATAACAGGACTCCTGACAATTCCCAACAATACTAAACAATAATTCACACGGACTAGATATTTACGAATTCTAGTCCGACGGAGGACTGAACTATAGACTGACCGGCGGAGCCGCGGCCGATAGCGAACACTCGCACTCGACCGAGGCACAGTTTACCTAGAACTGTACTAGGGAGCGTTTGTAAAAATCTACGGTCGATTCTGTATTATTATTGCAAGTGACAGCTGTCAAATAAAATTCTTTCGTATATTATTGTTAATTCCTAGCCAGAGTAAGTATCCCCAGATAAGGGAAAAGGTCCATGCCAGAGCCCGGAAGGGCACCCAAAATACCTGCGGGTTTTGAAACCACTTATTCAAAAAGGTTGAAAACCAGGTTTGCAACAGATGCACTGAAGAAAGTTACCACAGCCACTGCCTTCAAATCACCAAAAAATATCAAAACCAAACTGAAAACACAATTCGAAAATACCACAGTGAGTAAAAACACAAGCACTCTAACATTAACTAACCCAGGGGTCAGCTGCCTCGAACAGGAGGCCCCCCTGGCCGAAAATTCCAAAAATCGACCTTCAAGTGACCCTCAAAGTGTTAGCGAGGCGGTAAACACACACCGACCTCCAACCGACCGCCAAGGTGTTGCTGAGGAGGCAGGCACAACAACAAACCCAATAGAGGGGGGAATTCAAAGAAAGCCATCTGTGACTGGATCCGATGACTCACTAGAGTATCTGGATAGCCAGGACGATAGTGTGAATAGTAGCCAGGGAATGGAATATGACGACTCAGTCAAAAAATTAATCGAAGAACTCGAAAATTCTGGTGACTCAGACTGCAGTAGCAACATGGACGTCACGGTTGTTGATACAGATGCGAAAACAAAAGAGCCTGGAGAGAAAACCCCCGAATCTGACAAATTCGTGTCATCATATGTCACAGACAATGAGACGGGTGCTAGATACAGAACCCTCAGTCTACCGGAAAATGTAATCGCGAATCTGACTGATTTCAATACCAACAACTACAGTAACAATGTAGCACAAGCACAAATTGGAGGTGTGGCAGTTGCTCAAACCGGGGGTGAATTGAGTAGCCTTCGCTTTGGGTATGCCCCCACACCCTCAAATGAAATAATAGGCACCACAGTCGACATGAGTAACATCATCCTAAAAAACACGGGCGCCATCAGCAAAAATACAGACCCCAGAATCAGGGCTGAAAGGCGGAGAGAGTTACCTAACAGTGTAGACAATGGCATATTAGGATACACCTCCAGCCATACGTCTGAAGATGACCTTAACAGGAGAGACCCATACAGAAACCTGCCGCACTCGCCCAACAGTCTCTTTGAGCCTCGTAACGCAACGGAAAGAGCTCAATACGAGCAAGAACTTCGGGACATAGAAGCAGCCAAAAGAGCTAGCAATGAAGTACCATTTGTAACCCCTAAAAGGTTCTCATCTAATTTTGAAAAACTCGTTAGAGAAAAGACAAAACAAACAATCACCACAACAAAAAACAAATTCGCACCCCTAACAGATGAATCAGAGGCAGACTGTGAGGATGACGAAATAGGGAAAATCGTTAAAAAGCGTAAAAAAGGTAACAAATACAGGCAATTGGACCTTAACGAACCCATTGTGACAAATAACAAGCAACAAAGTGAACAAAACACACAAGCAGGACCATCGAATCAAACCAGAAAGCCAAATGAGGTCAACAAAAACAACAAAAAATCTATGCCACCCATAGTTATTGACGGCAAAACAAAAGATCAAAAAAACCTCATAAACGATTTAAAGGAGTACGTTAAGGGCGACTTCAGCGTCAAGCATACTAATGCCAGCACTATAATCTTCGTGGAAGACAGGGAAGACCACAGCAGGGTGCTCAGCAACATCAAAGCTGAAAAACTCTCGTACCACACGTACACATCATATGACGATAAATCTCACGCTTTTGTCTTGCGTGGACTAGCTGAGGGCACCAAAGTAACAGACATAATCGAAGACCTTGAGGAAGAGCACGAAATCAAAGCTCGAAACGTGTTCCAAATGAATACAAAAGAAAGACCCCTGTTTCTGGTGGTAACGGACCCGGCAATTACCCTGGATTATTTGAATAAAAATACTCGACGAATTCTATACACCAGGGTAGTATGGGAGATGAGGAAATCGACAAAAGCCATAATTCAATGCCACAACTGCCAGCAATGGGGGCACGCTACATCCAACTGCGGTAGGCCGTCTAAATGCGTCAAATGTGCGGGTGATCACCACACCCGTACATGCACGAAGACACGGGAAACACCAGCCACATGTGTAAATTGCGGGGGTGATCACCCTGCAAATTACTCGAAATGTCAGGCGTACACGAGTAAGCTAGAAAGACTAGAAGAAAGACGGCCTAGACCACAGCAGAAATTTGTCCCCGCCCCTGCGCCAAGAACTAACCAATGGGAGGCCAGGAAACAAGCCAGAAGCGCAAATATCGAATACCCGGCCCTGCCCACAAGAAAGCATGAAGCAAACGAAAACAAGAAGACAAACAGTGAAAGGGCAGTGCCGAGCAACATACATATGGATAACGTAACAACGTTGAATAAGGAACTAGCCGAACTAAATAAGCTAATCAATATCGGTGAGTTAACAAGGGCGATAAGAGCGCTTAACGCTGCACTAAAACAATGCATTACAGGACAACAGATAATAGAGACTTACAACGCGTTTATGAGCGACGTTGACAATCAATACAAACTTAGGAACTGAACTTCATTCACAGCACATACAAAAACTCAAAATTTGTTTCTTCAATGCACGCGGGATGCGCAACAAAACTGCACTTGTTCGCAGTTTCATTCATAAACATAAATTTGACATTGTACTCATTACCGAAACTTACTACAAAGACGCCGACTCGCTAAAAATACAAGAGTACAATGTCATAAGACAAGACAGACAAGGGCAGATAGGGGGCGGAGTAGCTTTTATCATTAAAAATAATATACCTCATCTAAGGTTAAACAATCTGAACATCACACAAGAGCACATCTGTCTGAAAGTGCAAGACATAATATTTATAGGGGCTTACAATCCCCCACACAACGTATTAAATAAAGTTGAACTCAACACTATTATGTCATCGGGAAATAGGGTCCTTTTGTTCGGAGATCTTAACTCCAAACACCCCCACTGGGATTCCAACTGCGAAATTCATAACAAAAGCGGTAAAAACCTGGATGAATTCGCCGATGACAATGACCTCATCATACACTATCCCGAAGAACCCACGTACTTCCCTTTCCAGAACAAACACAAGCCAAGCACCCTAGATATAGCCGTCGCTAAGAACATTCCTAATATAGACAATACAAGGACCTTCAAAGAACTTACATCAGATCATGACCCTGTATATCTGGAGATTAAGACAACACGATTGATCCCCAGAATCCAGGGTCAGTTCTATGACTACAATACAACCAACTGGACTAAATACAGACAAATCCTCGACAAAAACATACAAATCAATAGTAACATAACAAACAAAAATACTCTTGAGGAAGAATATACAAAATTTACAAGTGCAATAATTAAAGCTAGAGACCTTTCAACCAGCAAAGTTACACGTAAACAACACAAAGATAATCTTCCTCAAGAGATATTAGATCTCATAACACACAAAAACTACATTAGACGGCGATGGCAAGCCCACAGACAAGATGCTGACAGGGAAAATATGATACAGATCGGCAAACACGTAAATTTCAAAATAAATGAACATCGAAATAATACATGGAGAAAAACCCTGGAAGCAATCAATACAAAAGACAACTCAGTGTGGAAAATGGTGAGGAGGTTTAAGAAGCCTTTCTCGCAACTTCCCACACTGAGACATAATAACAACAATTACGTAACGGACGACCAGAAAGGGAGTGCGTTCGGCGAATTTTTCCAGGGAAATTTCGTAAACACTCAGCGTAATAGTAGAGAGCAAAATGAAATAGAGAATATCACTAAGGACATTAATGAAATGCCTATTCAAAGTATACCCCCAAATATTTTAACGAACCCAACCGAAATCCTTGAAATAATAAAAAGATCTCCGAGTAAGAGGGCCCCAGGACCCGATGACATTCACAATAAACTTCTCAAGAATATATCGAAAAAGGCAATAGTACAGTTGCATCACCTCATAAATGCGGTACTCAGACTGCAACATTACCCGGCAACCCTTAAGGTGGCTAACATAATCCCAATTATTAAGCCTAACAAGGATAAAAATCTCATAGAAAGCTACCGCCCCATCTCTCTCCTAAATGGACTAGCGAAAATAACAGACAAAGTAATACTAAAACGCATACATACACACGAACTCAACCAAATTATTCCGCCAGAACAGTACGGGTTTAGGGCCGGACACAGTACAGTGGCACAAGTTATCCGTATCGCTCATCATGCCAAAAAAGGCTACAATCTTAATCAGCAAACTGTTGTTGTGGCACTGGATGCTGCTAAGGCCTTCGACACTGTCTGGACTGACGGATTAATCCACAAAATGTTTATGAATGACTACCCTGTGTTCATTGTTAAAACAATACAAACATACCTACAAAACAGGCAATTTTTCATTAAAATCAACAATACAAGAAAAGGACCATACACTGCTATGGCGGGGGTACCACAGGGCTCAGTACTGGCGCCGCACCTGTATACCATAATGACCCATGACATGCCTATGGGACATAATGGCATACAGACGGCGCTGTACGCCGATGACACTTGTATCTATAAGACCTCACAATCTGCCGAAATTGCGAACAGAAGACTGGACATCCATGTCAACAGAGTGTTAGTCCCCTATCTAGATAAAAACAAAATCAAAATCAACCCTAGCAAAACAGAGAGCTTGATTCTAACACACAAAAAAACTGATAAAATTATTAACAGACTAAAAGTCCAAGGACAAACCATAGAGGCTAAAGATAAAATAAAATATTTAGGCATAACTCTAGATAGGAGACTAACATTCAAACACCATATAAGCGATAGGATCGCCAAAACCATGTACGCATTCAAAACCCTGTATCCGCTACTGCATAGAAGAAGCGGAGTCACCAGTGGTAACAAGCTTCTTTTATACAAGCAGGTACTGAGGCCTATACTCACATACGGAGGTCCTGTCTTCTGTTCTATGGCTGAAACTCATTTCAATAAACTTCAAATAATGCAGAACAAGTGTCTGAGGCTGGCTTTGGGGTATGACCGCTATGCCAGAATACGCGACATGCATATGCAAGCATCCATAGAAACTGTTAAAGCATACATACTTCGAATGTCAAATCATTTTTATAGAAACTGCTTACCCAGTTCCCTAAAGGAGGACATAAAGCTAATACATGAAGGAGATGGTGCAAACAGGAAACATGGATGTTTGCATAAAGCACTCACAATTTACAGACGTGATTGAAACAGCCCTCAGCTAACGACAGGACGTGGACTGGGCGCTGCTACTAACTGACTCACAGCAGCGAGAATTACACTGAATAGTCAAATCTCGAATCCGGCTAGCTATCAACTCTAGTCGGACGGAAGACTGCACGATGACGTCACTATTCAATACAGAAATTGCGGCTAGCGCTCCAATTTCAGTATTGAATGGGGATTCCACTGTGTAGTCTATAGATTTGACTTTCTCACGTACAAAGACTAACAAGTGACGAACACACAAACAAGGACAACCCTGTTTTTTACGTTTTTCAGGGATGACACTCACAATTAAAGTCAGACAAAAACTTACAAACTTAACCATTATCGCTCTTGTTAAGCACCACAACTGGCATATAATATTGTTTTAATAAGGAGATGCCAAGCAAATTCAAAAATATAAAAGTAGTTTTTCAAATACGACCACAACATCGGTAAATTAGTAGGCTACGCTTCCAGCAGACGCTATTGGAAGTCCCTCTATTCTTATATTTATATATTATAATGTATATATTATATATTTTGTATTTGTAAAATATTTGACACAATTGTACATAATGTAAATAAAGACTTTTGAAATGAAAAATGAAATCGACCGAGGCACTTCCGGGTGGTTTTATGGTTCGCCCTCCTTGTGAATTATGACAAAAACACATAGACTACCACAAGACACACACCACCAACGACAACCCTGTTTTTTCTAGCTTTTTCAGGGGACAATAACGAAACTAAGACACGACAAACCCTCAAATACATACAATTCCTGACCATAATCCTTCCTAATCCCTTAATAATACCCCTTGGGTAAGGAGTGAGGGCGGCTATATTTATAGCATAATCATAATAGTTAAATATGAATACATATACAGGGTGAGAGATCGCCTAGGCCTTATTCGCGTGAGATAAGGTCGCATACTGTACTGTGTACAGCTATGTTTTATTTGTATATATGTAGATATATTAGTTGTAAAAATTTTCTAAAAATTGAATAAAATGTTTGAAATGAAATGAATTTAAGGACAACCGAACAACCTATGGTTTTAAGTTCGACATGTTCGGTCGAAAATAGGTACATAATTCATTTTATTTATTTTGTACTATCTTTATCTAATCATCGTTATTCTTAAATGGAATTAATTTACTATTTTATTTCATACTCATGCGCTAATCTAAATTCTACAGTGATGTCGAAAATATGTACACAATGTACATATTTTCGTCTTATGGAAAAAGACCATGTTAAATTATCATGTGCATACTTAAGAGCAAACCGAACCGCTCGAAAATTTATAATTCATTCTGAGCCTTATTTTTAGTCCTACTTTCGTGAAATTTTCGAGAAATACCAATAATAACAAAACTTAGGTTGGAAAAATATTGAATTTTTTGTAAACCTTCGAGAAGTATTTATTTTGAAAATTTTTAAAAGTAATTGAAAAAAAAAAACGTTATTCTGTAAAAAATCTATAACACTTTACCACACTTTAACTGAAGACCAGTTATTCGATACTGTACCACCATTGGTTTAATCCTTAAATAAAAACTCACCTTTACCAATGGTAGACCTGGTCGACATTGTAAAATTTACCTCATGAAATGAAGTTTACCTTTTAAAATCCTAATGCAATAAAGTACTATAAATAAATAATAAAGTGGCCCCAAGCACATGAAGATATTTGGCATGATTATGATGAAACTGTTGATAAAATTGAGGCACCGATACAAGTCAACATCAAAGGCGTTTTTAAAGTTCCATACACAAACAAATTCCGAGAATATACAAAATATTTTTTTTAAATATTTTTACTTACAAAAAAAAATTATGGTTAATCTTTTACTTACTTTGAGCAACAACTTGTTTAAAACCTAAAATTTAACATGACGAACTTAAGTCGGAACATGCGAGATCTATATTGAATTTAGGTTCACATACAGTTCAACAGAAATAATCCACTTTTAAAATTGAGAAAATTTGATATAAATACGTAATTTTTAAAAGACCACTGAGTGTGCAAATATTATTTAACTCGACAAAACTTTCAGAAACAATATAATACCGTCCAATACTTATTTAGGTACATTTACCTTACTAATAATAAAAATAAATTAATTAAAAAAGATGATAATGTTTCTATACAATTTATTTAAAATATTTCTCAAAGAAACAAATTATAAAGTCATTTTAAAAAGCTGACTCCAAAAATTACAGTTTTTGACTAAATTTATATGGCACCACCCCTGAGGTACCCCCTTTCTAACAAAAAAATAATCATAGGAATCCGACA